ACACACACACACACACACACTGGCCCTGGCACACTGTTAGTTACACACACATACAATGCAGCGTCTTTTACTCATCCTCTTATTTCTTTAAATACAGTTATTGGAGGGGTGTGGATATCGGGGTGGCTTGTGAGAGTTGGTTCTCTCCTTCACCCTGTGGGGCCTCTGAGGATTGACGGTGAGCACCCTTTTCTACTGATCCACCTTGCTGGCCATGCTGTTTTAGTTTTGGTGGGAATACATCCTTTATTTTAAAATTTTGTTGACAAATTGAAACCAACAGCAAATCCTGTTAGTACCCTCAGCACTTCTTCACTGTAGAGGTTTTATCAGTATTTCTCCTGCTTGTGGCTTATCTGTCCCAGATAACCTTTTGTTGCCTTTCTCTTCTGATAGAAGAAATTGCCTTTCACAGCTTTGGGCCATACATTAAGACAACAAATGACATACCTACTAGGCTATCTGAGAACAGGTTATCACAAATGCTGAGTTTTTGACTTTCCATGCCCAGCTATCCAGGTTGTGGATATTAAGGCTCAAGCTTGTAAAAGGATTGGCGGTGTCCTGCCACCTGACTCCTGGCTAGCTTTATCTGAAATAATTACATGGAAACTGTATTCTTTTAAACACTGCTTGGCCCATTAGTTTCAGCCTCTTATTGGCTAACTCTCACATCTTTATTAACCTATTTCTAATGATCTGTGTAGCACCACGAGGTGGTGGCTTACCAGAAGGATTATAACCTGCGGCTGTCTCAGAGAGGCGAGTCATGGCGTCTGCCTCACTGCCTTCTTCCTCCCAGCATTCTGTTCTGTCTACTCCGCCTACCTATGTTCTGACCTATCAGGCCAAGCAGTTTCTTTATTAATTGACCAATGAAAGCAACACATAGAAACAAGGCTCACCTACATCACAAGCTGGTGTTGAATCAGATCTGGGTTCTCTTGTAAATTGTAGCTGTAGGAACAATGGCTCCCTGTACCCAGGTGGAGGTCTCTCATACTCCAAGACTTTATAAGGAGCAGCTGGGGTGTGATGTGTGAATAGCAATGAGAGTTTGTGTGCTCTAAGGAGCATACTTGTGCATTATGATGTCATGCAGCTCAGTATGATGCTGTTGCTTAATGAAGGCCAAGTGCAGGAACTAGCCACCTGTTCAAACTGTAGATTGTTGACCTTAGCATTAAATGCTGTGGTCATCCAGCTATCCTATTCTCACATGTAAACTGTGGAGCAATTGTTAAGCATATTCCCCTTTGTTAACTATAATTTCATACTCAGTTTTGTTTTGAGACAGAACTCAGGCTGGTCTTGAACTCCCTGTGTAGCTGAAGATGACCCTATACTCATGGACTTCCTATTTCTACCTTCTGAGTGCTGGAGTTCCAGGTCTGTATCACTATACTTTACGCACATTACCACATCTTGTGAGTACATTTCCCCCTTTACAATAACATCTTTGGTCTCAACTGGGGCCCCCAGAAAGCAGCACATGTATTTCTCTTTGCTCATTTCCCCATGTTTTCCATAATGTAACCAAAACCCAGTGTATAGTAGTCTTGTGAGTTCTTTTCTCAATGGGTACCTCCCTCCGTCATCTGTAGGTTACTGAGTAAAATGAACAATACAGTGGTTCCCTTATCTATAGGAGAGACTTTCTTTTTCAATAAATGTGTTTTAAAATCATTTAATTATTTGTGTATTTTGTGAATATATACATGTATATTTTTATGTGTTTAGCTGCACACATGGAACTCAGAGGTCAACATTTGTGTCTTCTGCTTTCTTGAGGTAGGGCTTCTCATTAAAAGTGTCGCACATCATTTTGGCTAGACTATCTGACTAACAAGTCTCTGTTCCTATACGCCTCAGCACTGGGGTTGCAGACGTGTGCCAACCTCTTGGGTTTCACATGGGTGCCAGGGTTCACACTCAGTGTCCTCATGCTTACACAGCAAGTGTTTTGCTCACTGAGCCTTTCCCCAGGTCCCATGATTGATACTTCCTAAGAATGTCAGGAGCAACCTCAAACTGTAAAGGGTATAGAACTCTATAATATATGTATCTGTGATTAATTTATAAATTCAGTACAATAATAGATGAACAGAAATAACTAAGAAATCGAATAATTTCAACAATATACTATAATAAAAGTTAAATAAATATGGGTTTCTCAATATTTTATTGTCCCATGGTCATATTTTTTTTTCAGGCTGATTGATTATGAATAGCATACTGGCATGTAAATTTGGAAGCAATTAATATATTTAGTTCTGTGTTATAGAATGTGTCATAAATAAAAGCCTCAAGTATTTACACCAATTCAACATCTTTTGTCAAAATCAAGTCATAGATTCCAGCTAACACCTTATAATAATGCTTGGAAATCCCTCAATGGCAGCATGAAGTATGTCCTGTCGTACAATGTGCCTGTGCTGCTGCTTTAATTTCTTTCCTTTTGAGAGTTTAATATGGTGTCTGTTGATCTTATTTGCTCCTCCCCAGCTTCTCCAGGTCAGTTCCCATCTCCCTTCCCACCCAGCTTTTCTGTTTCTGCTTCTTCCTTCTCTTCATCTCTCGTCTTGTCCAATTTGTATAGCCCAAATACTCCATCCACTGAATTGTGCACAACCTACAAGAGGTCACACTTGTATACTCACAGCTAATTCCTCCTGTAAGTTGCCATTCATCCTCTGCTTTCCCCTCTGTACTGGGATTTTGTCTGGCTTGAGTTTGCAGAGGTCTTGTTCATGTTACACAACTACTGTGAGTTCATTTGTGCAAGTGCCCTGGTGTGTCTGGGAAACACTTTCATTATAGTCATTTGTGGCCTCTAGTCCTTTCTTCTCTCTCGATTCCTGAGCCTTGAGGGGAAGGGTGTGATAGAGATGTCTCACCAAGGGCTGAGCACTCCACAGCTTCTTATTCTCTGCAACATGACCAGTTGTAGACCTCTGTGCTGATTGCCACCTACTGCAAGAAGCTTCTCTGATGCAGATTTAGAGATCATTAGCCTGTGGGTATAGTGATAAGTCATGGTTTATTCCTTTATGTCTATTTAGTGCAATGATAGTGGTAGGTTTCCTCCTAGGGTCCGAGGCCTGTTAACCACAGGTTCTTGACTCTGATAAGGGGTATGGGTTCCATCTTGTGAAGATGGTCTTAAACCAATCAGAAAGTGTTTGGTTACTCCCATACATTTGTACCACTAGTGGCTGCATCAGTGGACATATCGTGCCAGGATGGTCATTATTGTAGCTTTGCAGATTTCACAGCTGGATAAGGTTGGTCATTCTGGGACTGGAGAGATGACTCAGCAGTTAAAAGCACTGGCTCCTCTTCCAGATCACCCAGGTTCAATTCCTAGCACCCACATGGCAGGTTACACCTATCCAGTTCCAGGCCTTTTGACATGATACCCTCACACACACAGACATACAGGCAAAACACTAATGAACATAATATAAAAATAAATTATATATTTTTTAAAAAAATTGGCAATTCCTCCTTTTCCCCAGTAGCAAACCTAGCACGCAGCAGTATAAAAACTAGTCAGTAGGGATGAAGTTTCCAGGTTAGTAGAATTTTGATTTCTTCATGTTCTGTGACTCAAGTATGTGGTGTCTTCTGCAATAGGGTCTTATTCTCAAGTTCTGAAGGGTAACCAAGAGCAGTGGCAAAAGTCTGTAATGTTTGGAGGTCTGTGCAGCATCATCCGAAGAGGTTATCCATTCTCGGAACTGAATTTTTTGTTAGGCTGTGATATATCCGATAGGGCCATTGTTGCCTGGTTACAGGGTAATTCTATTTAAACTCTTTTTATATAAGTATATATTTTAGGAAGGTAGGTGTCTATATAATGCTTTCAAAAGACTTTTAATGTCTTTCTCCTTACTCCCTTTTCTATTCTGCCATCCTGTCCCTACCTCATTTAACCCATCCTGTTGAATTATTCATTTTTCTCCTTTGTGATGTGACAGTTAACTTTTAATTGTAAACTTGTCCACCTGAAATCACTTGGAAAGAGAGTCTCAGTAAGAAACTGTGTAAATCAGATTGGTGTGGGGGCATTGTCTTGATTGTTAATTCCTGTAGGGAGTTCTAGCCTATTGAGGGTGCTGCCGGTCCCTGGTTTGGAGCTCTGAACTGAATAAGACAGAAGAGCAAGCCAACAAGGATTCATTCATTTTTCTGCTCTTGATCGTCAGTGTGAAGTGAATAGCTGCTTGAATGCATGCCTATATTCCCCCTTGGTGATAGACTATAGTCTCTGATTGTAAGCCAGATAAACCCATCATCCTAAACATTGCTTTTGATAAGATTGTTTAGTCCAGGACCTTTAAAATATTCGTTACTGTGTGTGCTTGTATAGGCATGCACATGTGGGGGTCAGAGGACAACTTTCAGGAGCGAGTTCTCTCCTCCCCACAGGCCCACTTCACACTGATGAATTTATATTGTGTTGAGAAAACACACACACACACACACACACACACACACAAATTGAGTTACCAGGAGTAAAGGTGCATCTATAATCCTGGCACTTGGGATGTTCAAAAAAAGAAGACCAGTAAGGTGGCTCAATGCTAAAGGTGCTTGGTGCCAAACCTGACCTCCTGAGCTCAATCCTTGGGACCCACATGGTGGAAGGAGAGAACCAACTCCCCAAAATTGTTCTCTGATCTCTACATGGGTGCCATGGACCATGGGCATACCCACACCCCCACACACAAACAGTAATAGTAATAACTTTAAAAAGGGTAGTGAGATGGCTCAGTGGGTAAGACTTATGGGTAAAAATTGCTGTGTGAACTTGATATGAATTTAATCCCTGGAACCCACAGTTGGAAGAGAACCAGCTTCCCAAATTTGCTTACCTTCTGTGTACCATGGAACATGTACCTGCACACAGGCATGTGTGAGTGAGAGTGTACACACACACACACAATAGTAATAATGTAGTATATAAAGGACCAGTGAGATGACTCAGCAGTTGAAGGTGCCTGCTCCCAAGTCTTGACAGACTGAGTTCAGTCCCTAGAGCTCAGAGTGAGAGAGCCTGTTTCTGAATGTCGCCCTCTACTTCCACACATGTTCAGTCATAGCCAATTCCCACAACACACAATAATAAATAATAATATTATTATTGCACTTTTAGACCAAAAGCACTAACAGTTCATGTTGTGGGGGCCCTAGAGTGGTGGCTCAGCAGTTAAGAGCACTTATTGCTCTTGCAGAGGACCAGTGTTTGGTTCCCAGCACCCACCATCTGTAACTCCAGTTCAAGGGGAAGCCAATTCTTGGATTTTTCTAACTTGGGTACCAGCCATACACATAGTGCACATACATACATGCAAACGACCCTCAAAATACATTTGGAGAAAAAACTTATTAAAAAAGAATTCATAGCTGGGTGGTGGCCCTCAGGAACAGAGGCAGGTGATCTCTGAGTTTGAGGCCAGCCTGGTCTACAGAGCAAGTTCTAGGACAACCAGGGCTGCACAGAGAAACCCTGTCTTGAAAAAAACAAACAGCAAAGTAAAACTCACATTGGACGCTGGTGTGTGCAGTCAAGCTGTGCTCTGGGTGAGTGCACAAACAAGGTATTGTTCTCACCCTCCCATTCTTAATATATTTCCGGGAAACTTAAATTTATATTGTGTTGTGAGAATCATTTAATTAAATCTAGTTAATACTCAGTTGTATAATTTCAATAGGATCTCTAATTGCCCTGATGGGAATAAAGGTATTCTAAAGAGAAACTGGTGACCACCCCCCCTTTTTTAAAAAAAAAAACAAAAAATAAACTTTCAAAAGCATATATTCACTTCAGTTGGTATTTCTGAAAGATTTTTATGTTGGGAGAAGGAATAGGCTAGGAGCCAGTGTGTATGGATGGGGTTAGGCTAGAGAGGGGGTTGTCCCCTGGAAACAGGTCAGATCGTATTGCAGAAGGGACTGGAGCCTGAGCTATCGTGATGAGGGGAACTGCACACTTAGCAGGACTGCTTGGCTATGCCTGTCTCTGGCCCTCGGTTTAAATCTGAAGTTCATGTTAGGATCTCAGACCTAGGCTTGGAGGTACAAAGCACTGGAGCCTTTTGTTTTGTTGAAGGTACAGGTCACCTTTTTGGTATTATAAAAATTGTTTTTGAGACAAGGTTTCTAACCACTGTGTAGCTCAGGCTGACATGAAACTTACTATGCAGACCAGCCTGGCTTGTAACTCACAGAGATCTACCTGCCTCTGCCTCATGAGTACTGAAATTAAGGGTGTACACAACTATACCCAGCTTATAAGCATTTTTTAGAGGTGGTATGAGGTTTTGCTTTTCATGAAATACTAAGGTTTAAAATGTGTGCCTAGCCCATAATCATGCAAAATGTATATAGCACATATTTCAAGACAAGTCCTTAATTCCAGAAGATGATATTAATATATTTTCCCAGGTATTTTTTTTAAAGATTTATTCATTTTTATGTGCATTGTTTTGCCTGCTTGTATGTCTGTGTGAGGGTACCAGATCCCCTGGAACTGGAGTTAGACAGTGTGAACTGCCATGTGGGTGCTGGGAATTGAACCTGGGTCCTGTATGAGAACCATCTCTCCAGCCCCTGGGTGTTTTCTTAAATAGAAGATAGTTTAAATATGATGGAAGCAGGGAGCTCTAGGCATGGGAGCAAAAGTATTTGCCAGGTGAAAATTGATACAAAGTTTTAATGAAGAATGTATGTTATGGGGCCAGAGAGATGACTCAGCAGGGTGGTAACCTGAATGTGGTCCTATAACATAATGGTGGAAGGTGAGAACAACCCCAGAAAATTGGCCTCTGACCTTTACATACATACACGCACTTGCACATTGGCACATCGGTGCACATGCACACACAAATACACACTACTACTACCACCACTACTACTATGCATTGTTGACAAACACGGCATAGAAATTCTCATGCACTTGCTGCCTTTGAGAGAGAATGGGTACCTTCTGTAGCAGCTAAGAGACATTAACCTAACTTGTATCCTGGGCCATTTGTTTCGGGTCATTAAGATAAAAGGTGACAATTCAGTGTCCTGCTAGATAGTAAACTTCATAAACCCCATTTGTCCTTTCTAAGATTGGGGCAAGAAAACCCATTTTTAATAAAAAGGAGAGAAAAGATTGGCCATTTGGGATGAGATGCCACAGTTAAGCTAAGAGTTAAACTTTTATTAGATAACAGGGCATCACAAGGCACTGGAGCAAGAGAAAGAGGAATTTTATTATTCATTTTGACTTTTTTGCCTCCACAGTCAACATTTGGAAAAGATGAACTGGTGCGGGAGAATTATCTGTATTCTGTCAATCATGTATTTTAATAAAACACTGATTGGCCAGGCAGGAAGTATAGGTGGGACAACCAGACAGGAAGTAGAGGCGGGGCAATAAGAATAGGATAAGGCTAGGGAGGAGAAAGCTCCTTTAGCCACTCCTGCGCAGACCACCGAAGAGGCAACAACATGTGAGCTGACAGCTGAAAGAGGTACCAAGCCATATGGTTAACACAGAGTAGAATTATGGGTTACCATAAGATGTAAGAATTAGTTAATAAGAAGACTGAGCTAATGGGCCAATCAGTTTATAACCTTATGGAGTCTTGTGCGTGATTTTTCTTTGTGGCTTGCCGGTTGTGGGGTACTGGGTGGGACAGATACCCCAACAAGCCAGCCCTCATGTTACAATGAACAACTTGTCCTGTTTTCACTTACATATTATTATATCTGGTAGATAAACAAACAAACAAACAAAAAACAGAAATGCTTGTCTGGGAGACAGGCATTGTGGTACATACCTGTAATCCAAGTACAAGACTGAAGCAAGAAATCATAAATTCAAGAAGGAACTGGAAAGGGAGGACTGTGGGCTTTCTGTAGGGATGCTTTTATCTTGTTAGGAATGTGGTAGGACATAAACCTTTATCAGAACCCCAGTGCATATTTAAGATGTGTGCATTTGAACTGAAGAGTTGGCTCAGTGAGTGAGAACACTTGTGTACAGCGTGAGAAACAGTTCGAATCCCCAATATCCCTGGCATAGTCATTTGTGTACCTGTAGGCCCAATAGTATGGCAGGCAAAAGATTGCTGGAGCTTGCTGGCTACCAGTCTAGCTGAGGGTCTAGTGAGAGATGCTGTCTTGGTGGAATGTGTGGAAAGGGGTAGGGCCGGACGTCCCATGTCCCCTAGGCTTTATGCACATGACATAATGCTTCCCCTCTTCCCACAAAGATGTGCTTGAGTTTTAATTATATCTTAGAGTCATTATTTTAGTCTGATCTATGGAATAGGGCCTGTGTAAGGTTTCTGTGAGTGTACAATTTGATTTATAGATAATGAACTGTGTAACTTGTACTATATAATTTGGACTGCTGTTCAGGGTTTGATGATTGCCATTAAATTTTAGCAAAAATGCTTTTTATATTTTTGATTGTGAACCTAGGATTTAACAGCTGAGCCATCTCTCCAGTCTACAGAATTATTTTTAAGATACATAATGCTTAATGATGAACCAAAAGGAGGGCTGGGGATATAAATCAGTTGGTATAGTGCTTGCCTAGCATGCACAAAACTCTGGGTTTGATCAGCATCGCCACATCCACTGGGCATGGTGGCACGAGGATTAGAAGAAATGGTGGCAAGAGGATTAGAAGTGCAAGACCAACCGTGGCTACATAGTGAGTTTGAGGCCAGCCTAGGATATGAGACCTTGTTTTATTTTTTGCTTCTTTGTTTTGTGTTGTTTTTTAAAAACAACTTGGGAGGCAGAGACAGGTGATCCCTGAGTTCAAGGCCAGCCTGGTCTATAGAACGAGTTCCAAGTTAACCAGGGCTATACAGAAAACTGTCTCAGGAAAAAAAAAGAAGAAGACGAAGAAGAAGAGGAAGAAGAAGGAAAAAAAGTATGAGAAGGAAATTAAAGCAAACTGGTGAATAATAATAATAATAACTAATAATAATTTTGTTTCAGACAGGCAAACAGGAACCCTAAAACAAAAACTGAAAAGATGGTTCTCTGAAAAGACCTGTAAAAAGGGTGTTGAACAGATCTAATTTTGCTCTAGCCATCCCTGTGTTTGGGGGAGAAGGCTTGCGTTTCCTACCAAGACCTTGCTGAGGTTGCTTTCTGCTTAAATTATGATTTGAGATTCTCCCTGCGCAAATACCTTTACATTTAAGATGGAGATATAGCTCAGTTGTAGAACTCTTGTCTATCCTGCATGAATCTTGAATTCCATCCTCCACAGCTGTCAAACAGGATCAAATACCACCACCAAGAAAATTCTACCCGAAAACAAAAAGATTATTTTGGGACCATCAAGATGACTCAGTTTTCAAGTATATTTGCTGTAGATCTGAGCACTTATGTATCAAACTATGTGTCCAATTAACATCCTAAGGAGTATGGAGACAGGAGGACCGCTGAAGCTTTCTGACTTTCAGTGAAAATGTGAGCCCCTGGTTCAGGGAAACACCCCACCTTAAATGAATGGGTTTAGAAAGATAGGGAAGGGCATAGCCGCCTTCTGACCTCTGCATGTGCACATTTACAGAAGACTTACACACAAATAAATAAGAAAATAGCGATCTGCTTGTTGTACATATAATTTTACCACTTGTTGAAGATGAGAGCAAGTTTGCATAGTCATAAAAAACCTTTACCTGCCTTTAAGTCCGGCATCATCGTTTCTGAATGAGATGAAAAATGAGCAATTGCTAGTGCTCTCTGAATATAGATCCTTTCCTGTTTTATTATGTTTTAAATTTTCTGATTGTTTTCTTTGTGTTTATGATGTATGATGCAGAGAGAAGGGTGCTTTCCACCTTTACATGGGTCTTGGAGATCAAACTCAAGCTATGAAACTCATTGTCTGGACACAAGTGCCTTACCTGCTTAGCTCCCTGTTTTTTTGAGGCAAAGTCTATATCCTGGCTAGCTTTGAACTCACAGCAATTTCCCTGGTACAGCCTCTCAAGGGCTGGCATGTTTGCAGGGTTTTCTGTTCCACCAGCCAGCTCTCAACCACACAGAGACTTGTTATTAATTGTAAATGCTCAGCTGATAGCTTAGACTTGTTACTAACCAGCTTTATCTATGCTCTATCACATGGTAGTACCTTTCTTTAGCATGGCATGTTCATCTCCTGGTTCCTCCGCATCTCGCTGGTGACTCTGCCCTTCTTCATCCCCGTTCTCTCTTTTTGTCCACAAGTCCTGCCTAACCTATGCCTGACTAGCTATTGGCCATTTAGTTCTTTGTTGAATCAGTGAGAGTCCTTTATCAAACCAGTGAGAGCAACAAATACCCAGAGTGAAAAGCACTGGCGTTACAGGTGTTCATCACCTACTTGGCTTTGAATATAGATCTTTTAAGGGCAGTTGTGTTTACTGGGAAGGGTGATTATAATGATTAATTGAACACATGGACACACACACTCCTTGCACAGTTGCTACATAGCATTCCTCAGTAAATTGCAGCTAGTATCACTAGACCTCATGTTTCAGAGAGTACTGTGTTTAATGATCTTCCTATGTACTTCCTGCATATAGTTAATGTATAATTGATAGGTATTATCTAAGTAATTGATGTTAATTAGTGATTGATACTGCAGAAGTGCTCATGGTTGTGTACAACAGGCAGTGGAGAGTGCCACCGTCCACTGAAACTCACCGGCTGCACTGAAGTGATGACAGCTCCGGTGAAAGGAATATTCGGACCCACTTCTGCGTTACAGGATGGCAGCCACTGACCCGTCCCATGGTAAGGCCTTAGGAATTGAAGGCAGGTTGAAACCCACTTGCTGGCCCACAGGAATATTTGTAGCGCCTCTGGGGTGTGTTACAAGGGTAAAGGTGCAGTCTTCATTATATGTTTTATAGTCACAATAAAGTACCATTTTTGTTTTAGATTTCGTTTATTTTTATATGTATGAGTGTTTGTGTGTGTGTGTGTGTGTGTGTGTGTGTAGTGCCTGTTGAGGCCTGAAGAGGGTGTCAGATCTCGGTTGTGAGCTGCCATGTGGGTGCTGGGAATTGAACCTGGGTCCTTAGCCACTGAACCATCTCTCTATCCCCCAACACTTCTCTTTTTTGAGACGGCGCCCCATGTAGCCCATAGTGGCCTTGAATTTGCTAGGTAACTGATGATGGCCTTGAATTCTTGATCCTTTTGCTTCCACCTCTTGACCTGGGATGACAGGTGTGCACCATTTATGCCCATTGATTCTAAATGGAGCCTGGGGCTTCATGCTCTCCAGGCAGGTACTGCACTGACTGAGCTACAGCTCCAACCCTGATAAAGTGGCATTTTCAGGGCATAAAGCTTCCTTACGTATGGAATGAAGATGTTATTAATAGAGTTGCCCTAATAAGAAGCATTCCTTACCATCCTTCTTTCAAGTTGTAGATGACACAGCACTGTTCTAGCATTCTTTGGCATGTAGGGGTGGGAATGAGCTCTCAAATGTGTGTGTGTGAGAGAGAGGTGGGGAACAAATGAGGGAGAGAGAGAACTATATTGAGAGGCACAGAACAAGAAAGGTGGAGACTAGGAGGGAGGGAAGAGGAGACGTCTATAGTTAGATTGATGACCTGAGGCTTTTGTACTAGGGTGGAATGTCTCCTGTGCCTTTGGATGAGATTCTGAACAACTGAGTATTCATACCTGCTTCCTTTCCCTTAAGATCTTTCAGGGGACTCAGTCTGCCTTCAAGAAGAGAAGGTATCAGCACAAAGGATGCTGATTGACTGCCTGGCAAATTATCAGGTAAAAAGATAACACACATGCACACACATTCAAAACATTCCACCTATAGACAATTTCCTCCGAACAAACTTATCTCTAGAGCTGTTTAAATCAAATAGAGCTTCATTCACCTAAGGTTCTGGTTCCCTGGAATATAGAACCTGTCATAGTTTGCCTTCTGTTGCCATGATAAAAAAACCAGGATCAAAAGCAATGTGAAAGGAACAATTCTCAGATCACAATTCAGCCCTGAGAGATGTCAAGGCCAGCACTTGAGGCAGGACCTGAAGCAGAGAGCAGTGATGGAATCTGTTTACTGGCTCATGCCCCTGACTTGCTCAGCTACCTTTCTTAAACACCCACACCCACCTGCTGGGGAATGGTACTGCCCACAATGGACAGAGCCTTTCTTCATCAACCAGAAATCAAGAAAATGCCCATAGGCCAATATGAGGAAGGCAGAGTTCCTCAGTTAACACTCCCTATTCTCAGATGTGTCTAGTTTGTATCAAGTTGCCAGTGATTATGACAAAATCTTTCCTATTAAGTGAGTTGGAAATCTACAGTTAATCTTGATCTTTCAGTAATAATCTGGCTTTACCTTCATGGTGTCAGATCATTTTTCTTTTATTATTACATTTGTGTGTGTGTGTGTGTGTGTGTGTGTGTGTGTGTGTGTGTATGTGTTTTCACATGAGTGTGCATGTATAGAGCACATGCGACAGTGTGTGTAGATTCAGAGGACAACTGCGAAAGTCAGTACTCTGCTTGCATCATGTGTGTCTGAGGTCCCCACTTAGGGCATCAGTCTTGGCAGCAAGTAACATTACCCACTGAGCCATCTTGCTAGTCCCTGATCAACTGAATGTTTCTTCCTTTTTTGAGTTTCCTGGCAGGTGATAAGGTAGATGATATAGCCTCCCTTTCTAAGATGTTTATTCATGTATGCACAATCACCACGTCTTTAGGAGGTGCTGGCTACTGTGCCTAATACAGAGAAATACCTTGATGTTTTCTTGTGTACCGTTGGTACCAGTTCCTAGTCAGCAGTGACATTTAACTTGAGGGAATAAGAGAGTGAGAATAAGACTGAAGATGGAGCTCAGTGGTAGAGTTCTTGCCGAGCATGCTCAGTCAGGGTTCTGGGTTCTATCTCCAGCAAGGTAAAAAGGTGGCTGGAGTCCTCGAAGCCTCAGTGGGTAAAGGGCTTCGTACAAATAGAGGGACCTGAGTTTTGAGACCCAGTACCCATGTAAAACTTGGCATGGCTGCTTATGTCTGTAATTTCAGGGTCGGGGTGGAGACAAGTAGATTCCAGGACTCACTGATCAGCCAGCCTAGCTGAAACAGCAATTTCCAGGTTCAATTAAAAGCCCTGTCTCAGAAAATAAGGTGAAGAATTAATTGAGGAAGTCATCCCAACGTGAACTTTTGGCCACCACGTGAACTTGCACAGGCAAGTGTTCCTATCAGTTCACATGTATATACACCATGCACACATACACGTGAGTTTAAAGAGGAGTTTGTAAAGCCACTGGACCTTGGTGTTAGAGAATTGGAGACCAGGGAATTTTTTTAGATGTTGGGTTCCACTTCCTCATCCTCCCATGTTCATTAATAAAGATCTTAATTGGCTAAAACCAGCATGGCATGTGTTCAATATTTCAGGAGTTAGTTAACTTTGAGGATGTGACTGTGGACTTTACCCAAGAGGAATGGACCTCACTGAACCCATCCCAGAGAAGGCTCTACAGAGATGTGATGCTGGAGAACTACCAGAACCTGGCCACAGTAGGTGAGACTGCTGTTGCTCCCTGCAGCCTCTCATGGACTGACTGTGTTTCAGGAATGGTGATGGTAGCTCTGAATAAGACACGGCCCTGTAGAAGGGACCACCGTTACTCAACACGGCCCCATCCCTAAATGCATATTTTGTGTTTTGTTGTATTTTGAGACAGAGGTTCTCATTGTAGCCCTTGCTGGCCTGGAATTGAGGCATAAAACAGGATCACCTCAAACTCACAAATACTACCCTTGCCTCTATCTTTTGAATGCTAGAATTAAAGGTGTATACCACCTTAAATATGTTTTAATGTACTGGAGTGGTTCTCAAAAAACAAAACAAAACAAAACACCAAGATCTCTATATATTTTTGCTGGGTGGTGGTGGCTCATGTCCTTAGTCCTAGCACTCAGGAGGCAGAGGCCAGCAAATTTCTAAGTTTGAGGCCATCTTGGTCTGCAGAGTGAATTCCAGGATATCCATGCTACTCAGCGAAACCCTGCCCTCCACCCCAAAAAGAAAGTATATATTTTCCCTCTCTACGTTGATAGGCTAAATTAGAAACCTCAGTGTATAATCTTGTATCATTTGTGTGTCAATAAATTCTCTTGGAGTTCAAGAGATGGCTCGGTAGTTAAGGGAACTTGCTTGAGGACCTGGGGTGGGGATCCCAGGACTTATCTAACAAGCTGATTGTGGTCTTGCATGCACCTGTAACCCTGGTGTGAAACTGAGGAGAGGTTGGAAATGAGGATCACTGAGGCTTGCTGGCTGCCAGTCTCACTGGGAAAACAAGGTTCCAGGAGAGACTGCCCTAGAGTAAAGCACCCAGCACCCCACTTTGTCCTTTGCATGTGGGCACAGGCATTCATACCTGCACACACACGTGCATATACCACATAACATATACCACACACATACATATCCACAAACACGTGCAGTTAATTAAAAAGGGGTTGGGGAGATGACTCAGTAAGTAAGATGGTTACTGCTCTAGCAAGAGGACCTGAGTTAGGGTCACAGCTCTCCTGTAAAGGCTAGGTGTGATATTAGCCACAATATATACAGAAGCACACCTGCATACACGAACACTTGTACAGACATACAAAATAATAAGTAAATTAGAAAGTTTATTTATCTTGATGACTGTGATTAATAATACTATATATGAGCCACTTGCAGTTAAGTTTTCTAGAGGAACAAAGATCTCTTTGTTGCAGATCTCTCTCTCTCCTCTCTGTTTTGTTTTTTTTTCAAGACAAGGTCTCACTGTGTAGCCCCGGCTGTCCTAGAACTCACACTGTAGACCAGACTGGCCTTGAACTCAGAGATCCACCTGTAAATGGAGACTGTACTTTCCCAGCCACCCAGACCCGAATAACCACACAGAAACTATATTAAGTGCAACATCATTTTCCAGTGTCTTGGACTTCTTACTGGCTAGCTCTGAGTATTAAACCCATTTCTATTCATCTGTATATTGCCACAAGGCTGTGACTTACCAGTGCAGCATGTTACTTCTTCGGCAGCTATATGGTGTCTCCTTGACTCTGTCTACTCTCTCTATAGATCTCTGTTCAGATTTCCTGCCTGTTTTTACTCTATTAAGTCATTGGCCCAAACAGCTTTATTCATCAACCAATAATACATAGAGAAGACATCCCACATCATCCACCTGCTTCTGTCTCCTGAGTGCTGGGATTAAAGGCATGCACCACCACCACCCAGCAAAAAAAATATATGGAGACCCTGGACTTTTTGAGAACCACCCCAGTACATTAAAACATATTTTCCCAGCTGTTGCAGTTCTTACTTCCTGTTTGAGTAAAAGTAAAGTGCTGGGCTGAGATGTGACTCAGTGGTTGAGCACCTATCACTTGCGGGGTTTGGATGCAACCCCCAGTACTATAGAAAGAAAACTCTAGTACTTTGTAAAAGTATATATGACTAAATTAACTGGGGTCTAGAGAGTATATATTACTTGTATAATTAGCGCCTTAAAAATAATTTCTCTTTATTTATCATTACAACTCTAGTTCCTGGCAGTTTGTTGGCACACTTCTGGAATTCAAGCATGTGGGAGGCAATAAGAATAATATTACTGTGAGCTTGAGGCCAGCACTTGTCTCCAAACACTGGAGAAAAAGCAAAAATTCTTAATTCTTGAACCCTGGGAGTTCTGTCATTTTTTTTTCCCCTGAGCCTTCTCATCGCGTGTCTTACCTTGTGCACAGGATATCAGCTCATCAAACCCAGTCTGGTCTCTTGGTTGGAACAAGAAGAATTTAGTACATGTCAGAACATAGTTTTCTCAGGTCAGTATTCATGGAAATTTTATTTTATTTTTTTTCTTATTCTTCTGAGATAGGGTTTCTCTGTGTAGTCCTGGCTATCCTGATACTCACTCTGTAGATCAGGCTGGCCTTGAACTCACAGAGATCCACTTGCCTCTGCTTCAAGTGCTGGGATTAAAGGCATGTACCACCATCACTGGGCTTGGAAGTTCTATTTAGCGAAAGTTTAGTATGTTTGTAATGAAATAAACTTAAAATAAAAACAAAACCCTTGTGTTGGTCTGAAGAGATGGCTCAGTAGGTAAAGGCATGTGCGGCCAAGCCTGACAACCCGAGTTCAATCCCTGTAATCCGCACAGTAGAAAGAGAGAACCAACTCCCAAAGTCCCCTGACCTCTACATGCGTACTGTGATGCTTGCGTAGCTCTGCACATATATACTCAGTAAGCGAATGAAGGGGTGAATGAATATTTTAAAGAAGCCTTAAAATTCTTGTGTATGGGGGGCATGTATGTGTTCCCACAGTATGTATTTTGGAGTCATAGGGAACCTTTGGTGACTATCCTCACTTTCCACTTCATTTGACAGAGTCTTTGTTTGCCTCTGCATGTGCCAGGCCGGCAAGCTTTGGGGGATTTTTCTGTCTGCATCTACCATCTTGTCATAGATATACTGGAATTACAGACACCTACTATCATGCTCAGCCTTATGTGAGTTCTGGGGATCTGAACTTAGGTCCTCACACTTGTATAATAAACACTTTATCCATTGAAGCAATCAAGGTCCTATAATGAAGTTCTTCAAGATAAAATTTGTCTCAGAACTCTGAGGCGAGAAGAAAAATCTTCAACTTCCGATATTCTTTTAGTTTACTTAAACTTAGTGCTTTGAGAGATGTTCTTTTTCTAGAAGTTTTCTACTCTATTCCCCTGATAATTTCTTTCTGCTTACCATCGTTTTTAATTTTTATAGAATCAACTTTTGATATGATCTGAAAGTTCAATCCAGTGTCTTTATCTTTGCCTGACATGATGGCACAGTCCCATAATCCTTCTACTCAGGAATCTGAGGCAGAATGGTTATGAAGTCAGCATAGTGTGGGCTGTGTAGTGAGTTCAAGGCTAGGCTGCTTAGTCTCAAAAATAAAACAGAAAAAAATCCTCATCTATTTTTACTTTTTCTACCTTTTAAAATTCAAAATAAAATAAATGAGCCTTATTTTTTAAAATAATTTATTTTTATTTTATTTGCATTGGTATTTTGCCTGCACTGATATCTGTGAGGATGTGAGATGTTGGGGTCAGAGACAGTTGTGAGCTGCCAGGTGGGTGCTTCTGGAAGAGCAGTCAGTGCTCTCAACCACTGAGCCATCTCTCCAGCCCAAACCTTAGTTTTTAATTCCTATTTTCTACTTCCTTCTCCATACTCCTACCTTTATTTTTCTGTTTTACTTCAGAATGGAAAATGCAACCTGAAACCAAATGTTCACTATCCCAACAGGAATTTGTGAGGGGTAACATGTCCAGTGGGTTGCAAATGGTAAGAATAAAAATTTTATCTTATTTTTATTCTCAAAGGAAATTAGAGGCTAAAGATGTGTCTCTTGTAGAGTACCTATTTGGCATGTTTGAAGCTCTTCGAGGGAGAAAACTAGGAATTACATTAAAGAAGGTTTGAGAGAAGTAGATAATACACAAGAACAAATGTCTGAAGAAATAATATGAAATTGTGTCCCTAATGTGTGGTGAAACTCACTGCTTCAGAACTCATATAGATTACATCTTTTTCTTGGACTGGTGCAGAAAGCTTTTAAAAATTACACCAGATGACCCAGCATTCTGGAGTAAGTGTTTAATCACACCATTTGAGAGCAACTAACAGTATGAACTGTATGCAGGTAGTGGAAATAATCATAACTACAATGTTTTGTTATCAAATGCTTATAACCTTAACAATTGGCTGCAAAAAAAAAAAAAAAGTTGTTCTTCCTTCTTACCAGCAAACAGGAAGCCAGAGTGAAAGGGAGCTCCATAACTGGACAAAATCTGGAGCCTTCTGCAGTGACCTCTCATCCCTTCAGACACACCTGAAAACTCAAGCGACACAGGATGACTATGACTGTGGTCAGTACAGAAGAGACTTTCTGATGTTTCCCAGGAAAAGCTGCGCTGGTGAGGCACTTTCTGAACTCAGTGAGAGTGAGGAAGCCTGTACGACCCCAATTAATGTTAATGGAAAGACCGCCACACAGGAGAAGTCTTTTATCAGTCAGCCACAGCTTCACACACGTAGAAGAACTCACAGTGGAGACAGACTTTATGACTGGAATGAATATCGGAGAAGTTTTATAAACTCGAGACTTGCTGTGCTCATAGAAACTCTCAATGCAAAGAAGCCTTACAAGTGTAAGGAATGTGGGAAAGGCTACAGATACCCTGCATATCTAAACATTCACATGCGAACGCACACTGGTGAGAAGCCCTATGAATGTAAGGAATGTGGGAAAGCTTTCAATTATTCCAATTCATTTCAGATCCATGGAAGAACTCACACTGGAGAGAAACCCTATGTATGCAGTCAGTGTGGGAAAGCCTTCACTCAGTACTCAGGACTTAGTATACATGTAAGATCTCACAATGGTGATAAACCTTATGAATGTAAGGAATGTGGGAAAGCCTTCCTTACATCCTCACGACTTATTCAACATATAAGAACACACACAGGAGAAAAGCCTTTTGTGTGTGTCAAATGTGGGAAAGCCTTTGCTATTTCTTCAAATCTTAATGGACATTTGAAAATGCATGCTGAAGAGAAGACATGTGAGTGCAAGATTTGTGGGAAAGCATTTGGATACCCTTCATGTCTTAATAGTCACATGAGAACTCATAGTGCCACAAAGTCATACACATGTAAGGAATGTGGGAAGGCCTTTAACTATTCCACTCACCTTAAAACTCACATGCGAATCCACACTGGGGAAAAACCCTATGAGTGCAAACAGTGTGGAAAAGCCTTCAGTCATTCCACTTCATTTCAGATACACGAAAGAACCCACACTGGGGAGAAGCCCTATGAATGTAAGGAGTGTGGGAAAGCCTTCATCTGCCCCAGTTCCTTCAGAATTCATGAAATAAGTCACACTCACACTGAAGAAAAACCATATAAGTGTCAGCAGTGTGGAAGAGCCTACAGCCACCCTCGTTCCCTTCGAAGACATGAAAGAACTCACCAGTGAGCAGCCTGGCTGACGGAAGCTACGAGAGAAAGCCATTATTTGCTCTAGTGTACTTTGAAGACATGATGGTACTCCCAGTGGAGAGACATTATGAAAATTATATACATAGCTTGGAGCAGTACTGTACGGTGGCTGTTCAGGAGGCTGAAGATGGGGGTAAATTTAAAACCAAACTGGGCAACGCAAATGCTCCATGTCCAAAAAATTAAAACGATTGCTGACAAGATGGCTCAGTGGATAAAATCACTTGTTGTGAATGTCTGATATCTTGAATTTGGTCTGTATCCATGTGAAATAGACAGATATAGTGGAATTAATCTGTATTCCCAACAATCCGACAAGATAGGAGTCAGAGGCAGGAGAATCACCTGGAAGCTTGCAGGCCAGGTATCTTTCGAGAGACCTTGTTATGCTTCAGCAAGGTAAAAGAACCAATGCCTTAAAGTTGTCCTCTGACCTTTATATGTTTGCTTACTTCCCACATATGCCACAGTCATAAATTAAATTTCAAAGAATTTAATTGAGGGCTGTTGAGATGACTCAGCAGATGAAAGCATTCTGCATACAATCCTGACAATTTGCGTCCTTTCCCTGGTTCCCCACAGTGTAAGGAGGGAATTGGCTCTTAAAAGCTGTCCTCTGACCTCCACGTGAATGCTGTGGCACCCAAGCCTACTTGCCAGCCCCCAGTAATAATACATTTTAAAAATTAAAGTGAGGGACTGTAGAGATGGCTTAAACAGTTTCAAGCACCTGCTGCTCTTGCAGAGGACATGGGTTCAGATCTCAGCACTCACATGGCAACTCACAGCTAATCCATAACTCTAGTTCCAGGGGATTTGGCACCCTCTTCTGGCCTCTGTAAACACGCAGCAAACATAGACTTCACTTACATGTGCAGGCAAAATACTTATACACATAAAGACAATAAAAAGAAAAGGATGTTGTAATGAGTCTCTTAGGGCAGAGTGGCTGGTGTCCTCAGAAGGTTAAGGTGCAGCAGGATGCACACAGAGAAGATGGTAGGAAGTCTTCAGCCTTCTGCAAATAGAGAAGATCGTTACCATGGGTGTTTCCTCTTGTGGCCTCCAGAGGAAACTACCTGAGCTGTGCTCATCTTTGATCTCTAGCCTCCAAATTGTAGGAAATGAATAACCATGTTTAAGCTACCTGGTGAGTTACTTTGTTGCATTAGCTCTAACAAATAGATGTAATAAATCATTATGAATAAAGCTTTAGACTACTCAATGCTTTAGTTGCATACAGGTCTGATTGCAGTGGCCCCTGTTTATATAATCCTACAATTTGAGTGGTAGGAGTAGGATTGAGTTTAAGACCTGTGCTATACAGCAAGATCTTATCTTTCTTCTTTTTTTAAACATTTTTCTTTAATATCCTATCTTTAAAAATCAAGGGGTGGGGCTAAAATGATGACTTAGCAGGTAAGAGCACTTGCTGCTCTTCTAGAGGACCTAGTATTTGGTTCCCAGTACCCATATGATTGCTCACAATCATGCCTGTAACTCCAATTTCAGCTCATCTGATGTCCTTTTCTGGCTCCTGAGAACATCATACAGTCATATGCTACACATAAATACATGTAAGTAAAACACTCATGCACACAAGATTATAAAAAAAATCTTTTTTGGTTTTTTTTTTGAAATAAGTTTATCTGTGTAGCCCTGATTGTCCTGGAACTTGAGCTGTAGACTAAGTTGGCAATGAACTCTCAGAGATCTGCCTGCCTCTGCCTCCTAAGTGATGGGATTAAAGGCATGTTCCACCACCACCCTGCTGAAAAAAAATCTTAAAAAGACAAATAGCTTGAAAATAATGGCACACTAATATAATCCTAACACTTGAGGAAGTGAGGCCAGACTGATCAGGTTCAAGGCCAGTATTGCCTGCATATTGAGTTTGAAGCCATTTTGGGTGTTATGAGATCCCCTCTCAAAACAAAACTAAAACTGAGTGTTGTAGTAGACCCCCTGTCTTCCCAGGACTCAGGAGGTGGAAGCAGCGGAACTAGGACTCCAAGATCACCCTTGGCGTGGTCAGTCTGAGGCTAACCAGGGCTACCTGAGTTCCTGTTCGTGGTGGTTTGAATACTTGGTCCTCAGTTAGTATAACGGTTTGAGAAGGATTAGGAGGTATGGCCTTGGAGGAGGTGTGTCACTTGAGGTAGGTTTCAAAAGCCCATGCCAGTCCCAGTATATCTCTCTGCCTGCTGCCTGCAGATCGGAATGTAAACCTCTCAACTATTGCTCCAGTGATATACATGTCTGCTTCCTACCGAAATAAATGATCATGGACTGGCCCTCTACAACTGTAAGCAAGCCTCCAGTAAATACTGCTGCTGCTTTTGAAATAAGAATTGCCTTGGTCATGGTGTCACAGCAATAGAATAGTGACTAAGGCATAAATACCTGGCAGGAGAGAGACTCTGATCATAAAGGTGGTTTTCACAGAGCATGGCCTATTCATTGTACTCTAAATGTTTTGACCCGTGCATTTCCCCCAAATATGGGAAACTTGACTATAATTTGTGGTAATGGGGAGCTGCATAATGGCCAAGCTACCTCTGACCCCACAGATGCACTTTGTAACATATACAGATATGGTTGTTTGTTGTTGTTGTTGTTTTCCAGACAGGATTTCTCTGTAGCTTTGGAGGCTGTCCTGGAATTCACTCTGTAGACCTCTGCCAAGTACTGAGATTAAATGCGTGTGCCAGCGCCGCCTGGCTGGTCATTGGTTATTTTAATGACTTTCCAGGACTTGTGAGAGAACTCTGAAAGTAAAGGCTTCTTAGTGCCAATCCAGAGGACTCGCGTCCATTGTCCAGAATGCATATGGTGAGAGGAGAGGACTCACTGGCACCGCTGTCCTCTGGCTTCCATGAATACTCCTTGCTGTATGCACACACAGAGACACACGAGGAAAAAAGTTAAAAAAAAAAACCTTTTAAAAATGTAGACTTTTGAATTCTTTGTCAAGCATTTCAGCCATTCCAGCTCTTCTGGTTTTACTCGGAGGTCTTAGGGAGCAGCCTTCTCCTTAGGGGCGCCCCAGTACTGCTCAGGAGAGAACAAACTCTTATAACAGTCCTAGATTCAAAGGGACCCAGATGCAGAAAAACAAGTAGAATTACCTGTACCACCAATGACCATACAAAAGAAAATGTCTAATACTGTTATCTGTTAAATCAAAATTAAGATATGGTGTCCTAGGCCTTTAATGCCAACAATTGAGAGGCAGAGGCAGGTAGATCCATGTAGTGAGTTCCATCTTGCTGCCTTGTATACTAGTTTTTAAAATTAATTTTTAAAAGTCAAATAAAAAGTTTGAGCCCAGCCTGAGACACACACATATCCTCATACAAAACCTGTGAATTCAAGAGTAACAATAAAACTCAAATATATGAAAGGCATACAAATGAGCAGGAAGTACAACAAAAGATGGTTAAATCACCAAACATGGAAAATAAATCCAAACCACAACAAGAGAGCTGTAGTGTATCTCATGTATTTAGTATGTGTAACAAGAGGGCTGTAGTGGATCTTATGTATTTAGTATGTGTAACAAGAGGGCTGTAGTGGATCTTATGTATTTAGTATGTGTAACAAGAGGGCTGTAGTGGATCTTATGTATTTAGTATGTGTAACAACAAGAGGGCTGTAGTGGATCTTATGTATTTAGTATGTGTAACAAGAGGGCTGTAGTGGATCTTATGTGTTTAGCATGTGT